TTTTTTTTTTTTTTTTTTTTTAATTTCTACGTTTCCAAAGAAAATCTTCAAAATTGTATTAAAATCTCCAAGAAATTTTTGTTTTTTAAAAAAAAAAAAGAATTTTAAAATATTAAAGAAAAAAATTAAAGGTGTACATCCAATTCATAAACTAAAAAATTCGATTAACCCGACCAAAATCATCAAAATTTTGTTGAGTTAGACAGCATTTTGAGTTGTGTTGGGTTAATTTTTAGGAACCTAATTACAGATATTCAGATTGAGCCAAATTGAAATTAAATTGGTTCAAACCACTCAAAACAACTTTTGAAATTGTGATGATTATTCAAGGGTAGGGTATACGAGATGACGTGTAAAATTATTATTAAATATATTGGAAAATTAAAAAATAATTGTCAAAATTTTCTATTATTGCTAAATTTAAGAGTAAAAAATAAATACATATTTGATTTATTCCATACAAAATATTTGAAAAGTAAGAGAAGGGTAAAATTGAATAAATGGTTTCTAGAAAAATATCTAGAAGGAATAGAAACCAAAAATTGATAATTTTATGACAATGTAGATTATTCAAATTAAAGGTAAAAATATAGCAATTAACACGAAAAGTCAATTTTTTTTCATGAGATACAATTTTTCAACTTAGCATAAACCGTAGGTATGCTCGTAAGGCTGAATAAACCACTTCTCATCCAGCCTCTATACCAACTAGTCATAGAGTGGCCTCTTCTATGATAACCCACCATCTAGTTTGTTAGTACAACTGGCTAAGAGGGTTGGGAGGGTTGAAAAGTACGACTAGTTCCGTTATAAATTAAATATAGTATACCCAACCCGAATCAGCATATTTTTCTGTTTTACGCCCCGTGATTCTTCCTCGGCCAGGCTTCGGCAGAATAGTAGAGCAAGTACAAGTATTAGTAGAATAGCAAAAATGTGTTCCTCGTCATTAATATGTTTGCTCGCGGTAATTGTGACCTCTCGGGAGAATCGATGACTGCATTAAAGATGCACTTGCTAGTACTAGTACATCTGACAATTCTTGATTGGCTAGTTGTAAATAGACCCAGACTGTGGAGACCTACACTGAGGTATTGACAGTGATTCTCAAATATCAAATATCGCAGAACAGAATTTGATAGTAAGGAATTGATCCTACAACCTTCGTGAATTTTACGCTAAAATTTAAAATCTATATCACAAATTCTCTCTAAAGAAATAAGTCGAGACGGACTCAGTCTCCTAAATCCTCGATTTTTTTCATTAAAAGAAGCTTCCCGTTCAATTATAATTTATTTTTCTTAAAAAAACCTCATAAATAAAACTTTTCCCTTAAAAAATAGTAATTGTCAAACTATTTCTATTTTCAATCCAATAAATTAAATAAAGTGAGGTGTAATCTCTGTGCCCCCACATGTGATGAGATCTAAAGAGATCACAATAACCATATAATAAATATCTTATTTATCACATGACATCATCGAGTTTGACATCATAATATAACACTAACAACTTATTGAACATAACTTGATTCATGAGAGTGTGTAATTACATAACAAAATTAACAATCAACTCACATGCTCTCATACCTCATTTAATTCTCTCCGACGCTTAATCGACTCGAGAGTTGTAGCATTAGGCTAGCAAATCATTCGAAGAGGATAACGAGACAACGAAAAAGAATCAAACTCCTTCCTTTGCTCAAACTTTTGATCCTCTCTCATATGTTGTTTTGCTCAATCACCACCATCATGTTCATCCTGGACACCTAAATCAACTCATTAAAACACACACATACAACACACAACACACAAATTGATGGAGAAAAAGGATACTTAACAGATCTCCAACACATAAGCTTGAATCAAACCCATTAACTAAAGTGAATGGTTCAAAGCTTACAATGAACAAAAGTCAACCTGTTTAACTTTCTACAAATTTGAACGACCAGATTCTCCATTTGATTCATTGAACTCAGTAAAGGTATAAGAATCAAAGATTGAGACATATGTGACAATAATTTGGACAATACCCATGATAGATCAGCAGAGCATTGAATAATCAACTCTCCTTTGTAAGTTCATCTTCTACAGGCCTCCAAGTGTGTACAAACATTGGCACTTCCAAATAATGCCACCAAACATTTCAAAGAGCACTTTAAAACAGAATAATAATGATGATGATGAAGTTAGACATGTAATTTAGTCTCTACATATATTAAAAGATCAAAAAATTGAGTTACCAAATATGATGTAATATCAAATCTACGTTTTAATTAGATGAAATAGACATAACACCCACTCATAAAATCATAATTTTTACTCGTTATACAACTTAATCATAGTAACTTATTAACACAAAGTTGTTCATTGTAACAGAAGATTAACCTATTAAACATATAGACATTACTAGTTAAGATTAATACATATGAATTCATTAAAATCTAATGATGGTAAGAACTTCATGGGAAACAAACGATGCATAAACCATTAATTGGACTAAACCTACCCTACGACAAAATATTCTTAATTTTAGAATCAAACTCAAACACAAATCGGAAAATCTACCACTCTATGTATGTTACTACCAAATATTTACCAAGAAGGCGAGCACAATCAAACTTATCATTGTTATTTACATATCCAGCTCGCTTTGCTACATGGCATATCCATCAGGACCTCAGTGCTTACCTGTTGTCACCAAGCCCCTGAACCACATGTCTTAAAAGTTCATTTCTAGGAGAAAAAGGAAAAAGCAAAAAAAAGAAAAGAAAAGACTTACCACTTCACTAGCAAGAAAATGTCCTACGTAGGACAAACTGAAGGGAATATATACATATGTGCATGTGTACAGGCATTTGGGAATAAATGCACGATATTTGCTAGTATTTCTCATTTTGTTAGGAGAAAAAACAAAACTTGGACGAATACTCAACAAAATACTGACAATTTTGGTTATATAAGCCTTACTGCCAAGTGAGGCATTCAAAATATCACTTTAGAGAACACACAAAAAGCAATAGACAAAATCAGACGGGCAATATTTTTCGACCCAAAAGCAAGTAGTTGCAGAAAAAAGCAGCATAAACCAAACAAATAGCAATCTGACCAACCCTCACAAAACTGTACACGTGCACTGGCGTTGAATGTTGCAAACTAATGGTAGAATTTTTATTAAATAAATTTTCTTTTAGACGTGAGGTATACAATTTTACATGCAGAACTTTATAAGCAAACATCAATGCAAGCAATGTCAAAGCAACTGCAAACATCATTGCCAGCCTCACCCCTCAAGGGCAGCAACAGGCCGCTACAGAATCAATCAGTCAAGCCAATGTCTATCGTACATCAATCGAGGTATCTGCTATCAAACACCACAGCAACAATGTGTATCCCAAAAACTACAATAAGTCAGTCAGCACATCAAGCAGCAAGAGATTGATCTAAAAGTTTGGGATAATAACCTGTAAGTTTAAATCCACCCCTTCAAACAATACACAAAACTATAAACTTATGTTTACCATGGCTACTCATGTTCTGATGCGAAGTTCAAACCTGCAGCTAAGTTTTCTTAAACCAGCCTTCGCCATTAATATCAGTACCTCTCAAATGCATCATCAGCCGAGTATAAAAATTGATCAACATAGGTGGGGTCAAACCTATATATCAAGGCCCTCTAGATCTCCTTGCAGGTGAGGCGAAACATTACAAAATTTGGATAGGCCAGATGGATTAATCAGGTCAAATATCAAACCCTAAAGCATAATTGAGTTTCTAAAAACATTTAAACGTGACCATAAACCTTACCGATATATTATCATCCAGTGAATATTAGTAAAGACACTGTCCACAGCAACATCATACTGCATAGACAATCATACTGATAAATCAGCAAACTGCTGCAACCAGCATCAAAGTCACGATCACCCATCTATGACATAGAAACAGCATCAACAGCCACAAAATCAACATCCGCCAATCAGGCGCCATTCAATCTTATCCCGAACATAACTATAAAATCCAATAGAGGATTCATGATGAATCAGGATAGCTCAAACATATGAAAAGGAAAAGAAAAACACTGGGAAAAGAAAAGGACACCAAAAATACTCAAAATAAAGTATTACTACATGGTAGAGAACAGAAATAAAGAGGAAGAACATGTCCCAAGCTATATCCTATGACTGGAAATAAGGATACAAACTGCAGAGCCGAAAAGGATCAAACAGATACAAGATAGTAGATAAGGCACATTAAGCTCGATATATGATAATGAACATCATAGAAAAGTCCTACCAAAACTAGAACTTATAGTCAACATTTTTAATCGAGTGTCCTCAGAGCATTCACTCCTGCACTGCTCGGTTATGTCCACAGTTCTCCTTGCATCCATCAGTATTCACTTCTGTCAAAATTAAAGCAGGTAAAAACTTAACTACTTTAATCAAGTCCAGACTAATCACCCAAAATAGCTCATAAAGCAACTTACATCGACATCCGAGTTTTGTGGAGATGGGCTTCGTGAATCAGCAGGTTGACCTCGTGGTGAAACACTCCTAGGAGTTGGAGACCTTCCACCATCACCATTTCTTTCAGGACTTTCACCCCTTGGAGATGGACTCCTTCGAGGTGAAAGACTCCTTTGAGGTGAAAGACTCCTTCGTGGTGAAAGACTCCTTCGAGGAGACAGACTCCTTCGAGGACTAGGGCTTCGTCTACCAGGAGAAGCACTGTAATATGTAGAAAAAGGGCTGATTAAAAGTAAAATTCCACACTTTTAACCAACTGGATAAAAATTGTAATATCTTTAGAACCTATTAACAGAACGACTACGGCCACGACTTCGGCTATGGCTGCGACTGCGATTTCTACGTTCATCTACATAGCGTCCTCTTCCCCTCCCCTTGGAGTAATCAGGACTAGGCCGCCTGGGACTGATGCTCCTGCTCCGCCTGCGATAGTCTCTTTCCCTCTCTCTTTCTCTCCCCCGCCTATCACGATCACTCCTGTCCAAGCTTCTGCTTCTACTTCTGCTTCTCCTCCTATAGTCCCTATCTCTGTAATCATCCCGATATCTGAAAGTGAGAAATTTTAATTAGTAACTTGAATAAAAAAATTATATATAAAAAAAAAAAAAAAAAAAAAAAAAAAAAAAAAAAAAAAAAAAAAAAAAAAAAAAAAAAAAAAAAAAAAAAAAAAAAAAAAAAAAAAAAAA